ACAAACATCAACTACACTTAGTGCCCACTTTATTAGATACACCTGCAAATGAAGTAGAATATAATCCAACAGCTACACCATGAGCTACACCTTTATAAAAGTAATGTTCCTCTAATATTTTGGGAAAAAACCAGGATGTTAGAATCACATTTCAGCCCAGTGCAGTCCAGATCAACACCACCACTAACTACAACTTTAATAATAAACACAGAGTAAATATAGAAGTTGTAACACTGATCTGATCCAAAACATTATAATCGTCCTAAATGTAGAATTTGTGGCAGATCTGTTATACTGGTGTTCCTACTATAATAAAATAGACAGGGAGTGTAGTTTTTTGTGATTGGTGTGAAATTACATGTTGACGTCAAAGCTGTATTTTGCCTCACATGATTATGGCTATTTTCATACAATGTCAGACACACCACTCGTCCTTCCAATAGTATTTAGGCTTACTACAAGAGATGCTTTAAAGGGGCACACCACCTAAATTAAGAATTCTAATATGTTATTAGGAAAGTTTAATATTTGTGAACATGAGCTACTCTCTATCAAAGCTAGAAACCAGAGAGGTAAGTCTAAAACTTGTTATGTCATCAAGTATAAAGTCTGGAGCTGCTCCATAGACAATGAATGAGAGACTGATTTTGTGGACCCACAAAATGTTTTTCTTTTCTATACCATAATGAGCTTTATGCTGTACCCATATACTCAGAGGATTGTCTGTGAAGCAGCTCCAGACTCACAACTTTGAGTTTTAGCACTCTGGTTTTTGGATTTGGCAGAGAGTTCATGTTTTACTAATATTTCTGGACTGTCTTAAACCAGGAATAACATGTATGAATTTTGACAATGGGCATAGTTCCCTTTATATACAACACAGGTTACATACAGCAATGTTCATTACTGTGTAAGATACACACTGCAAATATACACTACATCTAATCCTTACTAGTTGTTTTTTTTTTTTTTTTATAAAAGAGGCACAGGTGGCCATTTTGCTTTTTGTGTTATGACCTGTCCCTTATAGTTAGCCTGCTCCTAAACGATTTAAAGGAAATTTATCGTCAACAATTGCTGAAAAAAACTGATTTTGTAAGTATGTAAAACTTTGTTGACATAGTTCCTTTCAGGGTCACAGAGTGCGTCACAGTTACAAAAAGAAGATAACAGCATTTGAATAAACAAATACATCACAGAAACAAAACTAGTTGAACAGATAAGAACAAATCAGGGCAGAGAAGCACCAATAAAATGCCCTTGACAATAAATAGGTTTTTTCAGATAAAAAAACAAAACACTCAACACAGTGATTTTTCAAACAAAAATGTGAATTATTAGAAGTTATTGCATGTACAAGTGTTAAAGCGAAATCTGCCAACTTCTGCTGCTTCTTGCTCTCTCTATGTGACTGGTGTTTCTACAGTTTACATCAACAACGAATGGCAGCCATAAAATATAAAGTATCATATGATATTTAATGTAGCTGGTCAGTGCAAGAAATAATGTATACAGTAGTTATACTAGTTAAGGTATAGACAATTGTGTGGCATGACGCAAAACCTCACACATGAATGTCCAAATTCATCATTTATATAACACTGTATCACAAGATCAAATTTTAAGGTATATTGACTTTGTGATTCTGCAACCTTCTGCAACCTTACTATCATGCAGACTCTGTTATGCTCATATCTCTGTTATAGTCATACCACCAAAGTTTGATGATCAACTGTTTTATGGCCCAAGGCCTACAGTGCACACCAACTTTACGGAAAAAGAAAAAAATTTCAGACAATACAGATAACTAACTAATCAAAGGCAGCGTGTCATTTACAGTGTTTTAAGCAGCTGTTATTAAATTTTATGGAGGCTGAGGGTGACACAGGGATATTAGACTTAAATGATGACACAATATTCCTTAAACTAATGGTAAAATTTGTACCTGTTACCTGTTTTTAATGGTCAAATTTTCTATCACATTTTCTATAATTGCACGATGCAGCCAAATTAGCGGCTAAAAATTAAATGAGGTCAAATGGCCCTTATTAGGTTTGAGTTGTGAGCAAGATGAAGAGCCTGTCCCCTCTGCTGGCCATTAAAAAATAGCTCCTGATATTTTTCCTGTGGGATGCACCCTGGTTATTTTTATTGTGCCAAATATTGACCAGATGACTTTAAATTAAGTAGACGTGTCTGTAAAAGTAAGTGTGGATGAAACAAACCTGTATTTATGTCAAGCAAATGACAAACTAAAGGTGTAACAGCTTTTTGAATAAAAAAAAAAAATATTAACCATATGGGATTTGAAGTGGGAGTGTATGAGGTACTTATCTGTTGTCAGTGTATTACCTACTGTAGATGTTAGTCGGCACACCCCCAGTTTGGAGAAGCAGGCTGGAGACCAACAAAGAAGCTAAGCAATTTACTGCTGTGGAGGGGTCAACAACAGAATGTATTTTAGCCACCTAAAAAAAGCTACACCTAAAACAATCAATGACAGTTTTATTGTACGCTATATTGAGAGTTATTTCAACCACTTAACATTTCTGTCAGATAGCCCGTTCCAATAGGGAAGCTGTTAACAGCTTCACAGCCACATCTCTACTCTTGTCAAAGCCACCAGACTCCACTGACAAAAACAGCAATTTTAATTGGCTCAAAACAGGAGCTGCTGGTCTACTGCTGCCTCAATCAGTTAGTTTGTGTTGTTGTGTGACTTTGGTTAATCTGAACTAACCCTCTCAAACTAGGGATGCATGACATTAGATTTTTCGGCAATATCCGATATATCTCTACTTACTTGGCCAGTAACCAATACCAATATCAATATATCCACTTTTTCCCTACCTAATATTAGTGACCCTGAGGTCTCTTCTGTAGTGGAGTTAACATCATATTATTCATGTATACTCTTAACGTGACGGCCCACCAGCAGACAGAGACATGAAATAAAATGCTTTTTAATGTATGTGAGGCAGCTACCTGTTCAAACCAGTAGGAGGTGCTGTTGTACTGCCTATTTCACAGCAAATGTTGTAGTTCACACTGTTTGTCCCTGGCAGAACACCGTAGCTTTGAGATTTGCTCTGGTAAGGACCTCAGGACGCCATGACTATGGATAAGTACCTCATACAACCCACATCAAAAAAAATCTAGATTTCTTTACCATAGGAACAGATGTGTGATTATCCAGCTGCACCAGCCACTATATCTTATACCTCACAACAAGTTCACAAATTCATACACTCACTGGCCACTTTATTAGGTACACCTTGCTAGTACCAGGTTAGACCCCCTTTTGCCTTCAGAACTGCCTTAATTCTTTGTGGCATAGATTCAACAAGGTGCTGGAAAGATTCCTCAGAGATTTAACATCCATGATGTGAATATCCCGCTCCACCACATCCCAAAGGTGCTCTATTGGATTGAGATCTGGTAACTGTGGAGGTCATTGGAGTACAGTGAACTCATTGCCATGTTCAAGAAACCAGTTTGAGATGATTTGAGCTTTGTGACATGGTGCGTTATCCTGCTGGAAGTAGCCATCAGAAGATGGGTACACTGTGGTCATAAAGGGATGGACATGGTCAGGAACAATACTCAGGTAGGCTGTGGTGTTTAAACCATGCTCAGTTGGTACTAAGGGGCCCAAAGTGTGCCAAGAAAATATCTCCCACACCATTACACCACCAGCAGCCTGAACCGTTGATACAAGGCAGGATGGATCCATGCTTTCATGTTGTTGACACCAAATTCTGACCCTACCATCTGAAAGTGGCAGCAGAAATCCAGACTCATCAGACCAGGCAACATTTTCCAATCTTCTATTGTCCAGTTTTGGTGAGCCTGTGTGAACTGTAGCCTCAGTTTCCTGTTGTTAGCTGACAGGAGTGGCACCTGGTGTGATCTTCTGCTGCTGTAGCCCATCTGCTTCAAGGTTTGACATGTTGTTGGTTCAGAGATAGTTTTCTGCAAACCTTGGTTGTATCGAGTGGTTATTTGAATTACTGTTGCCTTTCTATCATCTTGAACCAGTCTAGCCATTCTCCTCTGACCTCTGGCATCAACAAAGCATTTTCACCCAGAGAACTGCCGCCCACTAGATATTTTCTCTCTTTCAGACCATCCTCTGTAAACCCTAGAGATGGTTGTGTGTGAAAATCCCAGTAAAAACTCAGACAAGCCTGTCTGGCACCATCACTTAAATCACCTATCTTCTCCATTCTGATACTCAGTTTAACCTTCAGCAGGTCGTATTGACCATACATACATGCCTAAATGCATTGAGTTGCTGCCACATGATTGGCTGGTTAGCTATATGCTTGAGCAGTTGCACAGGTGTGCCTGATAAAGTGGCCGGTGAGTGTGTATATCAATATAGCCAAAATTTTATCTGAGGACAATGTGTGGATAACCGGTTAATTCAATAATTTCCGGTTCATATTAAATATGTAATTTACAGCTTTCTGGTCTCACTGCTGCTGATCCCCACTTGTGTATTTCATCAGGTGCTAACTGTTAACTGACAATAACTGACAAAACGATTAGCTAATTAACAGTTTCATGAGTTAGCTTGCTAATTCCCAAAGGAATTACTCACCAGATCTTCTGTTGTAGGAAACCTGGATCTTTATGATTGTATCTGAGTCACTTGTTTTGCTCTCAATTGAGGAATTACCATTTTTAGCATTTTATATTTCGGTTAAAGTTCTGGAAGATGGTCCAAACGAGTAGCGTTAACTAGCTAACCATGGACAACAGCGCCATCTATTTTCACTCCTGGTATGTGCTGCTCGGCTCGGTGCTGACCTCTTTGACTCTTTCTGCCCTTAAGAGAAGTCCGTTTTAAATAATTAATGTTCATTACGACTTAATTATTATAGCAAAAAAAAAAAAAAAAAAGTACGTATAGAAGTAGCATTTCAATTGTCAAGAGGTTAGGAGAGGTCGCACTGCTAGTATTTGAATGTGGCCTTTTTTTTTCCCCTCCACAAACGGATATTGTGTCAATCTCATTTCCTGGCGTCACACTCATTTGTGTCCCCAAAATGGCGAACATAGCCGCTGCTGCTGCGGCTGCTGCTGCCGCCGCTGTTGCCGCGAACAGAGACCCAGCTGTTGATCGATCATTACGATCAGTGTTTGGTAAGTTTGTCGCTGTGACTGGTTCAGTTATTGGCAGTTTTAACCGTTAGGTAAGAATAAGTCGATACACCAACGGCTAATGAATGGAAGCTAACATAGGTAGCCGGCTAGTGTTGTTGTTAGCTTGGCAACGAGGGAACAAACTTAACGTTAGCTACCTGAAGAAGGAGGATAATGTCTTATAATGTAAATGTGAGTTTATTTCTGTTGTCAAAATAACGTTTGCCATATGTTGTAATTATTAAAGTGGGGAACATTCCGTATGAAGCCACAGAGGAGCAGCTGAAAGACATCTTTTCTGAAGTGGGACTTGTTGTCAGCTTCAGGTGAGTGCAAGTTGATAGAGGATGCCATTCAATAATTGTTTTCATTTCCATGTATTTAATTATAGGAATGACGCACATTAATCGTCATTATTTCTGTAATTATGTCAGTGTTAGCTAGTTGGTGAAATGTTTTGAAACCAATGAGGTGATACTGTAAGTTAGCTAACGTTAGCCATCATGTGTGCCCCAAACTCCAGTTACAGAGTCAGTTTTTGTCTTATTAAACACTGTAGTGTGTTAAGTCAGGGTTTCGTAGGTCACCTGAACAATCTGAGCTTGCAAATCTGTATGGTTATGTATGATATTGTTCACACAGAACTTCTAAAAGGATTTCCCCTTTTTTTTTTTTTTTACTCAACTTTAACCATGTGGACCATCAGACATGCTGATATGTGTCTTTTTGCTCTCAGGTTGGTATATGACAGGGAGACAGGAAAGCCAAAGGGATATGGCTTCTGTGAATACCAAGACCAGGAGACGGCCCTCAGTGCCATGCGGAACCTGAACGGCAGAGAGTTCAGTGGTCGAGCTCTCCGTGTTGACAACGCAGCCAGTGAGAAAAACAAGGAAGAGCTTAAAAGTAAGTGTTTATTTCCTTCTGTCAATATTTTAGTCCGAGGTGTTGTGTTTTACTTGATTGAGAGATGTGTAAGCTACAGCTCTCAGCTACTTCTGTCTGCCAGTTCATCTCTTGGGTGAGCAAGGCACTGAACCCCCAACTGCTTGGGCGCCTGCCCAATGCAGCCCCCTCACTCTGACATCTCTCCATTTAATGCATGTAATGGTCCTGTTTGTGCATGTGTGTGTATTTCGGGCCTGTGTGTGTATGTGACAACAGAGTGAAAAAAGCGTATTTCCCCTCAGGGATTTATAAAGTATATCATCTTCCTGTTCTTGTTCTCCTTCTTCTGGCACAGGTTTGGGAACAGGAGCCCCCATTATTGAGTCTCCTTATGGAGAAAGCATCCAGCCACAGGAAGCCCCAGAGTCCATCAGCAGAGCCGTGGCCAGTCTGCCACCGGAGCAGATGTTTGAACTTATGAAACAGATGAAGGTAGGCTGGTTTTACAGCCTCAGTTTTTTAATAGCAAGTTCTTCAGCTCCATATTGTGTAGGATTGGTATGTTACAGGTCTAAGTTACCTATCCTTTACTTTCTGTATTGCTATGATACGTTAATTAATTTAGCATGAACACCAGAATCATCCTGAGTACCGCTAAACCTCATCAGTCCAAGAAGAACAGTGGCTCCCTGCTTACAGTTAAGTGAGGCTTATAAACAAACTGATTGGCCTGCCTCACTGTCAGTCGACATATCAATAGTCTTGGTCCTAGAAGCAAAATGAGCAGTCATCCTTGTGTTATTATGGCAATCCAGGTGACATGTGAGCATCAAAGTTAGCTTGTGTCCCATTCTGCTTAGTAGTTGGTGCTTCAACTCTGTGACGTCAGAATGGTTAGAAACATGATTTGATTTGAGTGAAAGATACTCAGTCAATCTGCTTATTGGTTATGAGGCTGTTGTAACACAATAATTCCTGTGAGTTTTGCCATAATAAGCTATCATATTTGACAGCTTTAGAACTTTAAAAACACTTCTTTTGTAACTTTTTTCCTTGGCGGATGTGTATAAAAGCCATTATAAATCTTGGACTTAACTTTTCACGTTAAAATGTTCTTCTTTTTCAAATAGTTCTTGTTATCCTGAAAAATAAAAGGTGCAGTACATCCAAATCTTTAGCTAATGAAATACTTTGAGAGGGTGTTAAATGTAAGTAGTACAAAAGTACAGTTTTTGGTAGGGGACTGAAAGGGTTAATTGACAGTTAATGATGCCTAGTCTGCAGTATTATAGATTAATCTCTGGGACTGATGCATCAATGGCATTTTAGTATTATTCTGGTGACTTAATGCTCAGGTTCTTGTGTCCTCTAATAGACTCACAAGTCAGTCTTTAGACGCTTTATCAGAAGGCGGAGATCTCTGATTGTCTGGTGGTGAGACTAGTCCTCTAATGTCTGTATAACACTACAGTCTCCCCAGAATATAGTGATATAGTGTCTGGCTTTCACAAATTGCAGCATTTCACCATGTTGATGTGAGCTGGCTTCTTCTAGAATGAAATTCAGACTTTATGTCAAAAGCTTAAGACTAAAATGTGATTGAACATCCTGAATGATGCTGAGGGTTTCAAGTTTTACAAAGCACCAAAGTGAAATTAAATAAAGTGAAAAAATCCAAATGTCAGCACTCACAAATATCATATATATCAGTCTTTTAATAACGCACAGCAGTATCACAAACGGACGCGTTTCAGCACTTGGCTTTCCTCAGTGTAGGAAAGCCAAGTGCTGAAACGCGTCCGTTTGTGATACTGCTGTGCGTTATTAAAAGACTGATATATGATATTTGTGAGTGCTGACATTTGGATTTATTCAGTTAGTGATTTTTGGGTCGGCACCCTGTAATTTTTCAGACGGTGAGTCGAGCACATCAATTCTTTTGTTTTGTAACTTAAATAAAGTAACAAAAAGAGATCTAACCAGGAATCTAAGTATTTAAAATGTCCCTGAATGTCATGATCTTAAACTGTGTGTTTAATGCTGCTACTCTCTTAAGCCCCCTAAAAAAGATGGAGACAAATGCTTGTCTCAGTTTGAATCACCTCCAGGTTGACAACTGTATGCGGATACTCCTCCTTCCCTTTCATTAACAGCGGCTGTGCTGCACAGTCTCCGTCTCTCTCAGCTCAGCCACAGAAGCCTTATCTTTGCACATCTGGCAGTCTGCTTCATTAGGCTCAAAGAAACGCCACACTGCAGACGTTTTTCCCTCCGACTGGAAAAGTGTTTGTTGCACCAAAGCTTGTGTCAGTAGGACGCCTCCATATGCTGATCAGAGTGCAAGTGTTTGGGCTCCGATCCTGATACCACAGATATTGTGGCGCGTCTTTCTTTAATGTTTTGTGCTGACGCAGCCACTTCTGTTGGTTATGGACGTGTATATGAATCATAAATGGGAAGCAGAAACTACAGAGGTTTGTTTAATGTGTCAGGAAGTAAAAGGACACAAAGCTTTTTTTATGTGAAACGGTCCAATGTTTTTTGTCTTGTTTTTTGCTTTGCCTAATTGTGATTTTTCATGCAGTATAAAATATCACGTTTCAGGATTGTGTTTGGTGAAAATGTGATTTCTCTCTCCAGCTGTGTGTGCAGAACAGTCCCCAGGAGGCGAGGAACATGCTGCTGCAGAACCCCCAGCTGGCCTATGCTCTGCTGCAGGCCCAAGTGGTCATGCGGATTGTTGACCCTGAGATTGCCTTGGTGAGCCGAGACCACATTCAGAATGAGGAGATTAGTCAAATGATCTTACGTGTATTCAAAGGTCAAAATAAAACGTTCATCTGACCGTGAGCTTGAAGCTAATCTACACTTTTGAACCAGTACACATTTTTGAGAGATGCTCTTCCATATACTCCACACACAGAAAATGCTCCACCGTCAAACAACAGTCCAGCCTCTGATTCCCAGCGGGCAGGGTGGAGGAGCACCACCGATTAATCCACCTCCTGCTCCGCCCAGCGTGCCAGTGTCTCAGCCGCAGCCTGTGGTGAGTGCAACAGTCTTTCACTCTTTAAAGTAATGCTCACTCTCTCCGCTCTGTGCTCTGAAATAGGACCTGATGTTGCAGGCACAGCCATGGACACCTAGTTATAGTTAAACACAGAGGTGCAAGATTAATGACGGGCAAGGCTGTAGGTTTTGTTTGAACATTTCCACTGTGGGGGGACCACCTCTGATAAAGTGTAGCTCACTGCCGCTTCAGTGTGAAGCCTTAGTCTGGAAACAGTCTGACAGAGAGCAAAATAATAGAAGGGGACGGAGGGACAGTGACACAGAGCAACCAGTCAGAGCAAAGATGCCCCTTTTTACAAGTCAAAATCAATGGAGGATACCAAATACATTGACTAGATGCTGACGGACAGCTGTGGTTACATTTTACTTTTCTGATCGGAATTGTTGCTAGGGACAGTTAAGTTGTTGCTGGACAGCAGCATAGCTTTTGCATCATGTCCTGCCTCCTGAACCCCTAGTCTAAACCAAACGCAGTATTTCCAGTAGGTGAGAACATGTTGGACACTGAAAATTTTCTTCGATTCTACAGACATTATGTGGAGTTCTTAACAGTAAATGGCTTTGGTTAGGATGGGAAACGTCATTTAACCCTATGGGCCCAAACAACGCATAGTGCGTCCAAATTCACACCTGTTCTTCTCTATTGATTTTCTCCACGACCGTGCGTCATAGCGAGAAGCCACACATATCACGTGAAACAGCGGAATTGTAGCGTTCCGACAAGACCAAGCACTTGTCGGTAGTCCAGTGTTTTCACAGTTAAAAAAAATGATAAAGTTACACTAAAATGACGTATAACAGAGCTTTCATACAGCTTTGCACACACATTACTCTTGGATGGATTACTCGCGAATGAAGGCTCGCACAGAAATGCCACGCATATCACATGAAAGCGCAGGACCAGAGCTTTCCAGTGATACCACACACATCATTGTGCTGTCATCCCATCATGCTATAAATTCAGATTAATTGTCTACAAAATAAAAACCTGAGGAATTTCTTTACATTCCATTATACAGATCTTGTTATCAGTCACTTCATATAGTGAGGAATATCGTATCTTACCACGTCTTAGGCTTGCGTGTGTTTCTCCCTGTCTATCCACATTTGTAGTCCGGCTTTCAAGATGCAAATATCTCTATATTGTCCAGCTGACACTCCATCAAACTTTGTATGGCAAGACCAGCCACTTCCCCTTTGCGCACCCAGACAACTATAGCCTAATTATGCATGCATGACAGGGCCGTAGTCACCATGTACATTGAGGGGGACATGTGTCCCCCCCAATGCCCCAAATGCCCCCCCAATATATAACTGAAACTGAAAAACAACAACAAACTTTGTTTACTAAAAACAAAGTGGTAAATATTATCTTGGAGGACATCATTGCACTTGGTTGACTATTTTTCTGTGATCTTAGATGTAAATATTGCATGTTTCTTTCAGATAAAACACATTTTTGACTTGTGAATGAGTCAATGGAATTTCTTGCAATAATGAAAAAATACTGGCAATCATGTCCGCCTGGCACAAACCACATGTTTTGGACAACTGTGAAGTGACAGAATGTCCCACCATCATGGTTCTTATATTACCAGATTCCAGAGTGTCTCCCCTCTACATATATGGCAGAATATGTCAACTTCCAACTTGCTATGGTGAGATACATGTAAAAATGTAAGAATTTAGTCACACGGATTTGTTTTGTTTTTTTTTCATTGATAGCCCAGATTGTCCTGAAAAAAAAAACAAGATATAGCATGTGTATGTAGCCTTTAGGATGACTGTGATATGAGCTTAAAAGTAAAGGCAGTAAAAATACCCCAAAAACGCCTAGGGCCCATAGGGTTAAATTCATATACTACATACAAAATGGCCAGTTATAACCTTTTTTGATCCAAACTAGCTCCAGTGCTTGCCATAGCAAAGCTGTATGATCAAAAAGTGGGGATGAAAAAACATGCCAGAGCCAGCTGGAGATTTCACCTGACAGGAAACATGTGCTTGAAATCATCTCTTTTTGCTATAGAATCCTTTATCTTGCGCAACACGTTCCCTTAAAGTTTTGTCCTCTCAACCTGTCATGTGCTTTCTTAAAAAGACCTAAAATATAATGCTTTTTTTTTTTTTAAAGGTTACCTTTATGTGTCAGAGTTGGTAACACATATTCTGTAAGAAGTGTCTCTTAAGATTAAGACTTTGGATCAATTATTTATGTCTTCTTGGTTATTTTGTTTTGTTACATGATCAGCCTGGAATGCATGTCAATGGAGCCCCTCAGATGATGCAGCCCCCCACCATGGGCGTTGTCCCTGGGCCTATGCCTGTACCAGGACCAGGACCTGGACAGGGACCTGGACCAGGACCAGGACAAGTACCAGTCGGACCCCCAGGTAATCATCATCACACTGCATGTGTACTTGTATCATCAACTGTACTGGTTGTTGTAGCATCATGGTTATGTTTCATTACTAAAGCCATTGATGGTTAATGTGTGAGTTATGACTGTTACTCTGCAACCATTCCTCATGCATCATGAGCCCACTTGCCCACAAACTAATTGCTAGCCAAATATTTATTCCACTCTTAAGGCAGACAAAAAAAAGCAAAATCAAAAACAGGGAAATGCTCCTTTTGGCTGCAACATCATTAACCAAAGTCTGTCCGTAATTCTGTTGGTTTAATGGTTCTTTTTGGCATACTTTTTCAATGTGTCACATTTGCTCTGTTCATTCCACACAGTTGTCTGTAGCTGCCTCTGGTTTATAATCGATAAATGTCAAATTAACAATATTATGCAATATAGTGAGTATTAATATTGATTTACAAATGTTTATACTGGAGCTACACTCCAGCTACCACATTAGTTCCTTTTTTTAATAAACTATGACTGTAATGATTCGTTTGCAGGTTGCACCAAGAACAGGATTAATCTTACATTTGCTTTACATTTTTTCCCATAGTCCACCACTGTGCAGTGTTTGTATTTCAGCAGATCACCAAAATAGATTCGACCAAACCAGTACAGTTTTTTTTATTGTCTGTTCCATTCAAAATTATCTTTAAACTGTCACACACCATTTCACGCAACCTTCTCTCATCAGTCTTGTAGCAAACAAAGCTATTATCATGCATTCATATCAGCACAAATAAGGGCGTAACGGTACACAAAATTCACGCGTGATTACGTAATGCAGTTTTGGGGTCACGGTTCAGTAGGTTTTCGACACAGCAGGGACAACAAACAAAAAAGGCAGAAAGTGAGTGTATTTTCCTTTTTTATTCTGAAAAATATGAACATTCAAAAGTGGCTCATTGGCCATGATTCTTACTGTAACAGTTAAATCAAATACTAACTATCATCAATAAGAAAAAATAAATAACACAAATGGTTAACACAGATGTCAGTAATCAGACCTGTTCACTCCTGAACTGCAGCTTACAGTTGCCCTTTATACAGGGCAATCACAGCAGACTTACTAAATGCACACATGAGGGCACACTGTATTATTTCATGTGCTCTACAACTGAGTACAGTAGCATGTATTCAGCGATACACTCCGTAGCATTATTTTAGAGGTTTGTGTCCTGGTTTTCTTATTGGTTATGGGTTCAGAACCGTTACACCCCTAAATACAATGTAATGCAATTAAGCTATTCTGTAAGTTATTTTAGCAGTTACATGTATAAAATTTCCCCTTTTTTAAACACAACCAAAACTACAGTGCCCCCAGTACCATTACCTTTTATCTTATGACGAAGCTTTGAACCTGTCATGGCTCACTGTGATCACTAGGTGTCACCAGAGCCTTGTTTAATCAGTCCATCTAATCACCTTGACTTTTGACATTTTCTGTTGCACAGAAACACTTCTCTATTCTCCCCAAATGTTTGGTATTAATTGTCTCAGTGTTCGTGTCGAGGCTTCATGCAACATATTTACTAATATTAATTTTCTAAAGCTTCCCTCCTCACCACTCTGTGATTGTGTCTCTGTGTGTGTATGTTTGTGGATATGTGTGCGTGTGTGTATACAGTACTGTCATGAGCATGCCTCAAAGTGCTTTTAAAGTGCTCCTCTGCTCTCTTGAGTCTTGTGTCTCCTGTTCTTTTCACTTTAATGCTGGCTCAGGAAACCTTCAGCATTCTCCCACAGGATCGTCTGGGCAAGCTGCTATCGAGCGGCCTCAAGGTATCACTGTACTCCCTCAGTTCTCCAGTCAGGTCATGAGACTGTTATGGAGAGGCCAGATATGTCCAAATACAGAGCACTTCTGCGATTTAATGTCCTACAGTTAGAAAGACTGCATGTCCTATATAATCATATATGAACCCTGTATGCAGCCCTTACAGTAGTGATGAAGCCTGTTTGTGTGTTATCATAATAAGCAGAAGGTGCCGTGTCATGAGGGTGGGAGGATGGTGATGCCACTGCATGTGAACAGATACAGGTTTGCCAGGAATGAAACTTTTGCCAGGATGCAGATGTTTTTGCATGATTATGTTGTTGGTGTTAAATCCAAGCCAAATTGTCTGCATGACCTTCAGTCCAATGTAAAGTTAAATATTGCAGTAGAAAAGTAGAGGCAGTGAGTAATGTCTGTGGCAAGAAGAAAAATATAGAGATAAAAATACGCAACTGAATTCTCTGAAAATGTTTAGCCTGCGTATAAGTGTAAAATGTTAGAATAACAGGAGTAAAATGATGTATGACTAAAATAATGCTGGATATAATCGGAACAAATGCCAAAGAAAGCCACCAGAAAACTGTGAAATTTGAATATGCTAAATATGTGCACATAAAATGGTTAGGATTGGATCAGCAGCTATTCCAAGTAAAATAACTCCTGGATCTGCTGTGTATTACACAAATTATGTTGGAAACTCTAAACTTAGTATTGAGAGAAGTAACACACACTCGTGAAATGCATAAGTACACTGGTCACATGTGCAGAAGTGCAATATCAACTTAAGATAAAAAAAATCCAAATGAATTTAAGACCAGTTTGTGCAGACAGACTTTCCGCCCTCAGCGCTCTTCTAGTTTGACTACATTGTACGGCTTAAAGGCTGTCAGTACAAAAGAACACCTAAAGGGATAGTTTGGATCTTTTGAAAACAGGTTGTATGAGGTACTTATCCATACATAGTCACTGTATTACTGACAGTACAGTGATCTGTACACCTCACAGTTTGGCGAAGCAGCACCACCATGGAAGCTAAACAATGCACTGCTGTGAAAAGAGAGCAGCAACAAAATCTATTTTAGCCACCCAAAAAAATCAATATCAGTTTAAGTATGTGCTATAGTTAGAATATATATAGAAGCGGTAATGCTTTACTTTGCAGTCAGACAATGATTTCTGAGAGAAAACTGGAGCTGCGCTATTGCTCTCTTCAAAGCCAGACTCCATTGAGGAAAACAGTAATTTTATCTTGCAGACCACAGGAGCTGCTGTCACACAGGTCACACAGTAATACAGACTAACTGATTGAGGCAGCAGTAACTTAACTGACTTAAAACAGCCACTTTACAACAAACAGTTTGAATTTAGCAGCGTCCAGTAACTGACCATGTGCATTCAGTGGTCAGAAAGTCCTTGATCCTGTCCATCTCCCATTCTTAAAATAGAATCTAGTTTAAGGTGACTCTGTAGCTGGCACAAATTTGAGGGAGCAAAAACTTTAAAAGCACCTTCACACAAGACAGTTCGAATTTGGGGAATGATGTACATGTACAGGTGACTGAAGGTTGCTGCTACTGATAGTTTTAGTAAATTTTGAAGAACATAAATAAGGAAGCAGTTTATGTAGTATGGCCTTATAAAGAAAAGTGTACCAGTGTTTAATTCTACTGTTGTGTAGACAAGACAACCCAGCGTTCTCATAGAAACTGCAGAGATGTTTGCGGAAACCTGAATTAGAGACAAATCGTAGCGCAGCACGGGAGACTGAATTTAATATTTTTTAAGGAAGACAAGTTTGCATGTACATTTAAAATGTCTCCATAATCAATTGTTGACTATTGTGGCTTCCAAATAAGTTCAAAAATAGCCGCCCACAGACACCATAACAGGATTATATGATGAACTCACTGTCTTTGGTTTAGTTTTACTCACTGTTTGATGATCCTGGTGCTTCAGTTGGTTTTAGAGTTGACTGATTTCCAGGATGTATGGAGAGTTACAAGATGACGCTGTGAACTTATTGTCTTGACTGTTGCGTTAAAAAAAATGAAAACAAAAATCCCCAAACATACAGTCCCCAAATAAACAGACCTTTACAAAAACAAAGTTTAAATCAATGGGGTAGTAAATGACTTCATCAAACAACTAAGATTAACCAAAAACACAGTGGTTAAAGACCCTGTGGCGTCCTCCACGAACCTCACTTGCTTGAGCACACCTTCTTTTTATTAAAGGTCCCTGAGATGCCAGGCCAAGTGGTGCATTGGAGTGACTCAAAAAATAATAGGAAACTAGGACTTGCTAGAAATGCCTCTAACACTGACCTAAGTGTCACTTGAACCAATTTCGTCCTTGCACTTAAAGAGTAAGAGCTGTTAATGGCTTCCCCATTTGAAAGGGCTGTCCACAGCAAGGTAAAGCGGTGAATATATGTCTCTTGAACCGATATTAATAGGTGGCTTCAATACATTTTACTGCTGCCTTCGTCCACAGCAGTATATTCCTTAGCTTCGATGGTGGTACTCCTGTCTGCTTCTCCCAACTGCGGGCATGCTTACAGTCATTTACTAGTAATACACAGACTATATGTAAGTACCTCATACAACGCCACTTCAAAAGATCTGAACTATTCCTGGAAGATGCTGTGAAGGAGATAAAAAAAAAAAAAAGATTTAAGGCCTCATCAGCTGAGCGTGCCAGGATGTGTGTCACCCTGCAGTGAATCATGTGCAGGTGTGGCCCTGCACCTGTCGCAGGTTAACAACAAGGTGCATCAGTTCTGGTCCTGTAATGAAAGTAAAACCAGAATCTCTGAGTCTCCAAAGTTTGGCATGAATTATAGGCACCAACAAAACATTTTCCGTGCTGGCAGATTGATAGTGTGTTGGATGATTTGTGGCTCTGTGGTTCTGATACACAGCACGGGCTCATTGAGTCTCCTTGTCTCTATTAAATTACTGTGACTCTGGGGGTGACTTTGCAGACTCTGCTATTCGTAGTTTGGGACAGTTGGGAAGGGACTTGAGCTCTCATTGATCTAGACTGATTCTGACCACATCACATCTGCAACATGTAACAGATGTTGAGGCCACATGCTGCAGATGTTTGGGTGGAGGCACATTTTTGCCCCAAAAAGCCTGTTCCTTCTCATTTTCTGTTTTTATATGCTGTTTGTAACGACGATGCTGTTGCCATGGCACTGTGAGCTAATTCAGGTCAGTGAGTCAGCGGCAGGTGTGACGCTGCTCCTTCGTACCTGTGTGCTCTCAGACATTATGCTTTATTACACCTGTCAGAAATGAACCAGGCCATTTGTTGAGCAGCTGATTAAAATGAGATATATGATGCAGAATTCTGACAATTTAATGATTAACATTCACACAGTCACCTCAGACGTGGGCTGTTTTTTATCTCAACAAGTAGGTTTTTAAACATAATCTGTGGCTGTTGCCAGGATAATGATGAAAACAGTGGTTTGACATATATTGAGAGGTCTGTTGTTGCTTTGCTTTGTCAGTTTTTGTCATTAACTGTGACATTACATTTGTCATTCCTGCTAATAGAAGTAAAGATGCTGCCTGGCGCTCTGTTAATCCAAGAAAACTGAGAGTCAGTTCATAATGACATCAAATTGCTGAGTGTGCTTTTAAGCGGCGTGCTGCTTCCAAGGTATCTTTAAAAAAATCAGTCTTCTTGGCTCCTCTCATGTCGTTCCCTCGTTCGTGTTTGTCAGCATCAGTTGTCAAAACATCAGTTCCAATTTCTTGCCATTTCTCCACACTGCAGTTCCTCTGTCAACAGGACTAACTGCAGCTCACACTGCCGTTACCCCATCAATTTCTTTTAGCTGCTCCTTTTTTAACCAGCCGCTGGGCTCTCCTCCCAGTCAGCTGTGTAACAGAATAAATGGTTTAAATAAATACATATTAAAGTGCAGTTAAATGCAGTTGTTTGAGATGCCCTCTGCTCTCAAATCTGTTGAGTTAGGCTGGATATGTCATGATGCAGTAATTGTTCTGTAAATTTATTGAAAAAATAGTTACAATACCGTACTTCATTGCATTTTATTGTTTTCTTCTTTGATTCAGAACATCCATACAAACAAAAAACAACTGCCTCACAACACTTGATTTAAAAAAACAAAATGCACAAAACAGTAAAACTAAAATTCTTTTGCAATCAAAGCTTTAAGACTCCTGGGATAAACAAGTGTTAATCTACAGGTGTCTGAATTTATAACTTCACTGTCCTCCTCCATATCTGCAAATCACGTTACCTTGTGAGGCAGCTGGATTCACATAAGCATAACAAGATCACACGAGACTCAAGCCTTGATTTGCTACATAGCCTCAGTACCTTGTGAGGCAGACACTTTCTTGCCAAATATCTACTGTTGCACAGTATATGTTGTCACATGGCCCAACCCTATGTTGAGTCTACAGTCAAACAAAGACCCTTTTTTATATCTCCGTATCTCCGTATCGCTGACAGCTGTGGCTGGAGGCGTCATGTTTTCAGGTTGTCCGTCTTTCCCATACTCATGAACTAGATATCTCATGAACGCCTGGAGGGAATGTCTTCAAGTTTGGCACAAACATCCACTTTGACTCAACAATGAACCAATTAGATTTTGGTGGTGACCTCACTCAACATGTTTTTGGCCACATCTTGAGAGTTGGTTATGACAACATTTCACAGAACAGGATAAAATGAAGAAGTGATGACGTTATATATTCAAAAGGTCAAAGTTCAGCTTCACAGAAGGAGAGACATTTGGTCAAATGCTAAATTGGTGACTCTAATCTCAGGCGTCCATCTTGAAACAGTACTGATTATATAAATCTGTGTTGCTGAGTTGAAAATGAGTGTGAAGCATCCCTGTTTTAGAATTTGTAGCTTCTTAACAGCAACATCCATATTTGAAGCATAGTCTGTAATGGCATGTTCATTCATTTGTTTTCTGTAACCACTTATCCTGTTAGGGGTCACAGGGGGCTGGAGCCTATCCCAGCTGACATTGGGTGAGAGGCGGGGTACATTCTCGACAGGTTGCCAGACCACACGGGGCTGACACATACAGTAGAGACAGACAACCATTCACACTCACATTCACACCTATGGACAATTTAGAGTCACCAGTTAACCTGCATGTCTTTGGACTGTGGTAGGAAGCCGGAGTACCCTTCTCTCAGTCAGCTGTATGACAACCTGAAGTTAATGTAAATAAATCCATATTATAATTTAAAGCAGATTTTTTTTTTTACCAAACCCCCTGCCCTTACCTTGGATCTGGTGAGTCTTAAATTAATGACACACATTTTTTTTCTTCTTCAATTAATATTTGCCAACCTAAAAAAAACATTACCTCCTACTATGAGCCACTTATACACAATGTTAATCTTGATAAAGGTAAAACTACACCAGGGAGGGATCTGTAATGTTGGGCGAGGCACGCAGTCTCTTATTTAGACTAATTATTTTACTGCTCACTTGGCAGGAGAGTTGAAATGAATGTGGTTCAGTCACTAATGTACAGATATACACCTGCCTCATTGAGTTTCACTAACATGTTGTATTGTTTAGATATGTTCGCTGCAGGTAATCAGACTGTGACATGCATTAATGTAATTGAATACTGACACACCCGTTGTACTTGATCTTCTCTCTGCATGCTTCCTGTCACGATGTTCTCAAATAACACCAGAGTTACAAGACACAAGTAGGGAAATATTCTCAAGTCAGGACTTCTGTATCTGTACTCTACGGACAGAGTTTTGTGTGTTTTGAACCTATAATCTCTCTCTTTACGTTGATGGCATTGTTTTCCTGCACTTATGTGTTCCTGATCACCCTCCTGATATCTCCCTGTGTGTTGACACATCTCGCTGTGGCAGTTTGATGTGGTCAATCTGTACGTCATTGTGTTTATGAACTCCCAAACAGCTCCAGTTGTTTCGTGAGATATCTGACCTGAGTAAACACTCACCTTTATAGTTCTGTGTGTGTGGTTGCCCTTACCGGCCTTATTATTCTTAATGGATTACTCATGAAACATTTCCTGCTCATTGAAGTAAAAAAAATAACTTGTAAGTGTTTTTATGTGTTTGAATGTGTGATTTTCTCGTCTCAGGACCAGGCGGTATCCCCCCCAGAGGCCTGCTGGGAGATGGTCCCAATGATCCCAGAGGAGGAACTCTGCTGTCCGTCACCGGAGAAGTCATAGACCCCAAGTAAGATGTTCACCCACATCACATTACTTTAAAAGCAGGACTGGTTGTGAGGATTTTAGATTCAAGCCGTTAAAGTTTTAATTCCTGTGCTTACCAGCATGTGTGGTTTAACAATACAAATTCCTGGAGGCCAAGTTATTTTTCCAAGGAAGGTGAAGGCATGATTGGCCTCTGATTGGCTCACCCTGACATTCTTGCCCCAAGCACTCTCATTCCTCTTGCCTAAATCTAACCAACCCAACCAGAAGGCAACAAACTCTAGCCAATCAGAGGAAAAGTAGGGCAGGTCCCAGGCACCAAAAAAAAGCTTTCTGAAGGCAGCAGACACTTGTTGAGCTGCAACTAGATACTGAACTTGCTCTGCTCAGGGCCCACTTCTGCAAAACGACAGGAGATCAGGGGCCAGTTAATAAACACACAGTCATGATATTTATCAGTATATGAAATAAATGAAATTCCTGTTTTTACCCTTTTGATATTTGCTGTCCTCACTCATCAAAATCAAGTCACAGCAGCCCTGTGCACATCAGGTCTTCAGGATATTTCGTGCTGACGCCTCATTTCCACTTACGTACATGACTGGTGTCAGAATCCTGATAGAAACTACCTGTAGCCACAAGGGAGAGGCTAATTTTGCCAGTTTTGCACCATCCAGTAGTTTGGAATATGCGCTTGGAACATTACCGGGACGAAAACAGGACCAATATTGCATTACAACAAATACATGAATATGTTGACCTGCCATGAACGAGGCATGTTTTGTGAAATATTTAATTAAAAAGACGTGTGACCAGCTGAACAAGTCATAATGATGATCTAACTGTGTATAATGTATAACCATATTTTAGCAGAATGACATTACTCAGATTCACAATGTGTTAAAACTAGATAAACAAGTTCTTTTTAATTATACAGATTCACTTGTCAATCAACACAGGCAACTGAATTGAAGAAAATAGCCTGTTAGCCAGTTAGCAGCCTGTTAGCTAAGCTAGCACACTGTCATACGGTCTCTCCAAAATCCACTGCAGAAGTTAAATTTTTTACAAGTATTTGAGGCAAATTCCGGACCGAAATATTACAGAGGATATCATGGATATTCCCATAAGAATGAATGGACTCCCAGACCGGCAGATGGTCCTCCCATGGTGCTATTTCTGTTGTTGTTGTTTGTAATAAACAAGCTCAATTTTGATGCTTTTTGCACTCATACATCTTTTTGTCACATTCAAACTTTAAAAAAAATCCCCACTGTGGGATACCTGGTGGATTAGTGGGTGGGGCGGGCATCCCATTTGTGACTTGACTACATTAAATGACTGTTGCTCTTATTTTGTGTGTGTGTCTGTATTTAGCCGCGGCTACATGGGAGCTCCACCTCCTCACCAAGCCCCACCTGTACACATGCCCCAAATGGCAAGTGGACCCCCTCCGGATATGAGAGGCCCTCCAATGGACATGAGAGGCCCGCCCATGGGTGAACCAAGGAACATGATGGGTGACCCCAGAGGGCCCCCGATGATGGAGCCCCGCGGACCCCCGATGGAAACCAGAGGTAGCTGCTATGATTACGCCTCATAATGTGAGATCCTGAGCGTATGATGTCGTCAACATTTTTTCTGCAACAGATCTCAGTTCAGTTTTAGTTCCAGCTGACAGACAAACCAAATGCCACAAAACAAAAGTCTTTTGTTCCAGCAAGAGATTTTTTTACATGATGAGGAGAGTTGATTGATATGACAAACATTTTCTTTTCTTTGTCACTGAGACTAGAAGCCAACAGACACACCTTCTTATGCTTGAATGATGAACTTTCTTTCACTTCTAACAGAGTTTCATTTTTAAACAGAGTTCTCGCTTACATAAATTATGTAAGAGCAAAGCTGGCAAAGAGCATCACAGTTCTGGGGAAACAAAACACATACTGGGCCATAAATCACTGCACATTCTGTATTCATCACTTGGACTACCATATTTGAATGACTGTGCGGAAGTTTGGGGCAACACTTACAAAAGCAACTTCGGACCATTACACATCCTCCAAAAGAGAGCAGTCAGAACAGTACACAATGTTGGGTACAGGGAACAGTCACATGCAGATCTGGTCAAATTAAAAACTGCAATAATCATGTTTAAAGTGAGAAATAATTCACTTCCAGGCAACATTCAAAGAATCATTTGTGACAGGGAGGGGGGTTGTAATTTAAGAGGAGAATTTAATTTAGGGTTAGGGACATATAAGTTTTACTTCTGTTATCTTTGTCTTGTTAGTTTTTTATTTTATTTAATTTTTTTGCTTCGAAATGAAGGCATTTATTCATAAATGTACACATACTCAACAAGGTGTGAACGGTAAATGTGGTTTTGTTTCTCTGTGCAGGTCGTGACCCGAGGGCGATGGACGCTCGTGGTCCAGTGACAGGGCAGAGGGTTCCCATGGCAACAGGAATGCAAGGCCCCGTTCCTCACAGCATGGGTCCTAACGCTCCTCCACCTGCAAGACCGGTAACCGCTGCAGCTAACGTCTGTGTTTCTGTTGGCTGTTTGTTTGTTTGTTAATTTTTTTAAATTTAGAATTTCCTTCATGTTATAAAGACTACTGTGCACACAAAAATATAAGAATAATGTCAATATTTATTTTATTTGATAAAGATGTGCACAGGCCATTATTACTAAAATAATCTTGGTTTTGTAAAAAAACAAAAACAAAACAAAAAATAACCTAAATGCATCTTAATTAAATGTTGCAAGGAATTTGAATCCCAGCTGAATATGAAGATAAACCCCCCTACTACAGCGCTCCCCTTTATCCTAAGCCCCTCCCACCAGATGACCACGAGCATATGGACGCCCATTATATAGTAACCCTGTGTTATCAATCCATTGATTTATTTAATCTTATTTCACTGTCGAGGCTCCAGCAGCTCATTCACTCAGCCCCTCCATTCCCTCACTCCCAGCCACTGTAGACTGCTTCCCTAGGAGGAGAGCGGGCAGCAGAAATTTTGCTGATCTAGCGGCGAGTCTGGGCAGTCCAGTCCCCTGGAGCTGGGGTTTGTGCTGGCTGGATTCCGGTTGCTGACTGGGGGTCTGTCAGAGCTGCTGTCTGCTCCCCTCCAGTGAGGTGGTCTGTAGCAGCGGGGAGTGAGGCAGAGGAGACACTGTGATTTGAGGCTCTAGCTAACGTTGGCTACATAAACATGAACTTGAAGCTGCAGCCATGAGTCTTTAGCTGTGGTTAACAAATGGCTAAAGAAAGTCATCCCGTCATGGGCTAGATTTTCCAAAGCCTGAAAACAGAGCCAAGAGGAGGAGCAGAAGCTTGTCCTCTCTCAGTCCATGGGAATTACAATATGCTCAAAGGTTATTATGGGGTTTTTAACACCAAAATAAAACAACCTACCCCAGCTGTAAATAGAAGTTCACTTAACAATACATAAAAAAACATTGTGAAAGTGTGAGTGTGAGAAAGAAAGATGCAAAACAACTCAGTGCTACCTGCTCTAAATGTGATAATGATCACCCGTCTGATAAACAGTGAGAACTAACCGTGTGTCTATTTGCAGGGTCCTGGTATCTCCGGTGTTCCTCCATCAGGAGGAGGCTTCAGTCCCGGGCAGAGCCAGGTCTCCACACAGGACCAGGAGAAGGTGGGTGTTACTTTGTCTGTCACCCTCTAACTCTCTAACACACACAGAGACTGTGAAAAACGCCTTTCTGCACCGTCTCCTGCAGACAGAGGGGAGTAGAGTCTCGCAACACACGTGCTTGTTTAGGAGGGGAGAAGAGGGGTTGGCTGCATTTGGCGAGACGTCACCGCTACCCGCTTGAGGGCGGGTGGCACGGCTTTTGGACATACTCCTGAGAAGGTCCATCTCTGGCGCAGCTTATGCGGAATTTATACTTCTGCGTTGAATAGCAGGCTCTGCGTCAACACAGAGCCTACACTGTAATCTATGCCTTAGCCTGACATGCACCTCCCCAGAAATGTACCTACATGTTGTGACGACGCAGACCTATTTTTGTAAGATGAGACCATTTCCCTCGGTGGAAATGAAGCTTTTATTTACTTTAATTTCACAGATAAGAAACAATAAATTGTGAAGACAATAAAGCCTCCACGAAAATAGCATTTTAACTCTTGTGTGTGATTTATCCTTCAGGGGTCCTTCCGCTCATTGCTAGGCTAATTTCTACAACGTAAAATACCATAGGCTTGTGCTAATAACGTTAGCATGTTGTATTCGTGGGGAAAATGTGTCCAGATAAAGACAAGTGTTTGTCCGTGAATGCTGCAAGTTATAGTGAAGCCAATCTGTGTAGTTGTGTTTGAAATTGTCTCTATTAAGCCATGTTTAATGTGTGTTTAGAATCAACTGCAGAGTGAGACAGACATACCAGCGCACAAGTATAAATGCTCACAACAACGTAGCCGATGTGCGTAGGCTATGGCGTAGGGTCTGCAACTATAAATCCTGCTTTAGTGTGGCACAGCGTGTCTAAACTGACAATGGAAACACAAATCGGCGTGGCATGACCTTATTTGGGGTGGCCAAGAGTGACAATGGAAAAAGGGCATTTGTCTATCTGCAGCTTGTTGACGTGCCCCTGAGCAAAATGCCGCTCCTTTTTCTGTGTCCTCATTCACTGATTGCAAGTCATTCTGAGCATGTCTCACCTGAGGGGGGGTCATTACAGCAGCAGTGTTTTTGTCTTCAACAATAACAGGTGATGTTTCAACACAATAAAGGCATTTAGAGGAGGAATTCTGACTTTCCTGTTACCAGAGATTACCAGTTAAGATTATTGTAGACACCCAGTACGCATTTCACCTCCTGTATCCTCCTCCTCCTTTTGTCCCTCTCTAGGCTGCCCTGATTATGCAGGTCCTGCAGCTGACCCCAGAACAGATCGCCATGTTGCCCCCGGAGCAGCGGCAGAGCATCCTCATCCTCAAAGAGCAGATTCAGAAGACCGCAGGAGGAGCACCTTGATGGTCTGAGAAAAACGTCAAGGTTTCAGGTCGGCTGAGTTTCTTTATTTCCTTCACGTCACACATCCCTCCAGGAAATTAACTGGTTTTAAGGTGTTCTTGTGTCAACACGGATCAACTCTGTATTATCTGACATGTTATTGTTTTATGCCTATCATTCTGATTCCAGGACTCGCTCCACCTCTCTGACCTTGTCACCTTCAGCTCCAACAGGTCTGAAGACGTCTCATCTTAGTTTGGAGTATTGTATAGTTTTTTTAAAATCCCATTGTCTGTGTTCTGTGTGAGAGCGTCAGGTTGATGCTTGTGGATTCAAAAGTAAGAGAGACATTTGAGTGGATGATGAACAGATTAAAAACCAGAGTAGGATTGTCACGAGGTTTGATCCTTTTCCTCCAGAGCCGACTGTTTTCATGTGATCAGCTCTGCAAAGTGTTAGCCTGGAAATTGTTTTGTCAATAAAACAAACAAAAAAAGACTTTGTTTCATTCGTTTATTCAAAATGAGTATGTACACACAGGAAAGGGGATTTAAAACACATTATGTCAATAACCTCACGTCCTTCCACGTCACTCAGGGATAATTAACCCACAGGCTACGTGACGGGAAGTCTTCCTCCTTGTTTACTTGTCGTCTTATCACTCTGATAAGGAAATACCAGAGAATTTGACGGGTTATAATAAACCATTGTCTGTTTCCAAGAAACTTGTTTCCTTAACCAGTAAACCTTTAAAAAGTCAAAGAACACAACATGATATTAACAGTGTATTTGATCGTAGGCTCGTTGTCTGAAGTGGAAAATATGATTTAAAAATATAAAAATCTGCTGATTCAGAGCTAGAAAGATTAATTGATCCATGGAAAATTAATCAACAATATTGACAAACAAGAAATTCATTTGCTTTTTTTTTTTTTTTTTTTCCTATTAAAAAAAAAAAAAAAAAGCCCAAATCTTTTGGGTTTTGAACTCTTAGTCCGATAAAATGAGAATCTGAGGACATTAACTTTGGATCTGGGACACTGATGGGCAAATTATTTATTTTTTCTGACATTCACACAAGAAAAAAAATCTGGCAGATTATTCAATAATGGAAATATTGATTAGTTGCAGCCCTAGATGAGCTGCTGTAGTGTTAAATTGTCAATTACAGAATCCTAAAGCACATTGAGTTGTACACAGTTTTAGTATGTTAGTCTTTGTGCAAAGAAAGCTAGTCTTTCCAAATGGCGTGCTAACAAAAAGTGCACTGCAGAGGTAAAACATCCGAGGTCCTGACATCTAGTAACAGTAAAATACTTCCTAGAAACCAATATACTCTCAGGCCATCAGAAACTCGAAGGTTTCTCCAGAAATACGGCTTTAAATTAATGATACGAGTCTACGAACCTCTGAGTGTAACTGACCGTATAAGCCATGAGTCATAATGGATTATGAGGCTGTGATTTTATGGATCAAGAGATGTGATGAAAGCGAGTAAGTCCCTGAGTAGTCCTGATAAAACAACATGCCCTGCCTCTTTATTAATGAGCAGTAAAGTCTGCAGTGTGGGAAAAACACCCAGCTAGTGCAACAGGTTGTCGGGCAGCTTTGTCATTAATAGTTTTACATTACATCCACAGTGGAAGAAACTTTCCACCAACTGTCGTCCTTCAAGAAGCCCAAATGCTGCTGTGCTCGCTCAGAAGTTCTCCTTGTTGAAGTAAAATTTGGTCTTCCGAGGATCCACGTCTGAGTATTTGGCACATTTCTTCTCCAAAACTTTTGCGAGAGCTTCAGGGCCACACAAGAACGTTCCCACCACGGACCTGAAAACACGAGCAAGAACAACACAATGAGTTACATTTACAGGTTAAAGATTTAATGTGAGAAGTGCAAAGCAAACAGCGGTGGACAGTAACGTAGTGACTTCAGGCGTCAGATACACTATCGGCTTTGAGATCTAATAAATGTGTGAGGTTTAGGATTATACAGTATAAGATTCTGTGCAGAGCATATTACTCCTGTTAGATTATCCAAAATGGATGACAAAGATTTATGCTGGCATAATTTTGGCAACCAAGGTTCTTTACTGAAACACTGGTCAGAAGTAATACATGAATATGAATACAGGGGTTTTACTTTTACATCGTTTCACTGCTACTTTTTCTCCAGTAAAGAATATGAATACTTCTTTCACCACTGTTAATATGATCAGTAAACTTATAGGTATCAGAGATCAATTCATGCAACCTTTATTTAAATCTTGAGGAATTACTGATCGGCATCACCTCATTTTTAATGACACCGAAAGAACACAGAGTAGATGCACACACACAAAAAAAATATTCAAGAGAAAACACATCCACAGACCTAAAGATTTATCCAATCACTTTAACGAGATACCGACTACAGGACCAATTTAAAGGTCCAGTGTGCAGGATTCAGCGGCCTCTAGTTGTGAGGTTGCAGATTGTCACCAAATTAAATGTCTGCTGTGTGATAGGCATACAGGAGAACTATGGTGGCCAGTACGTAAATGTTAATTGCTGTATGTAGAGCCAGTGTTTGGTTCTGGGCTACTGTAGAAACAAAATGGCCGACGCTGTGGACAAGGACCTGCTCTGTACGTAGATATAAACATTATAAACTATAAACTTATTCTGAGGTAACACAAACACAACAATTCTTGGTTTCAGGCAATTCTACAATAAAGAAACATACCTTTTATATTATTTTCAATTTCTGACAATAGAATAGATGCCCCAAAATATTACACACTGGACCTTCAATAAGGAAGTGATATATGAAAATAAGCTGCCATTAAAGGCTTTAAAAATAAATTGAAACCAGTGCCTGTCATGTCCTGCTGTTAGAGCTGCCCACACAACCTTTTCATACAAGATGCAATAATGAGTATAATAACTGTCACTGGTAATACATCTTAGGACAGAGAGATAAACTGAATCCTGGGTTTAAGACCAATGGGTTTGAGGTATTTTAAGAGTATTTCATCTTACGTGGGGTTCTCTTTGCGGACTTGTTCGAACTCCTTGTCCCAGACGGGTCTGCCAAAGTGAGTCTTCTGTTTCAGCCCAGTGACGACATCTGCGTCCTCATCATCGTGAACCCAGGCATGACGAGCCTGTGACCAAGAAATAAATAAATAAATAAAACCGATAACAACTGATTTAAAGGGGATCTAAGCCCATTTTCAAAATTCTTACAGGTTATTCCTACAGTCTATGACAGGCCAGAAATATTAATAAACATGAACAACTCTAAATCAAATCCAAAAACCAAAGTGTGCGATGTCATCAGGCATAACATTTGGAGCTTCTTTACATCAGAGTGACTGTAACAAATCAGTTTCCTCTTAGGGATCAATAGAGGATTTCTGATTCTGATTCTGTATGTGGGAACATTTTCTGTCTCATAACTGAGAACACTTCAATAGAGTAAAGCTCATGTGGGTATAAAAGAGAAAAACACTCCGTGGGTCGACAATATCAGTCTCCTTTTCATTGTCTATGGAGCAGCTCCAGACTTTATACTCTATGAAATCACAAGTTTAACACTTGACCCTAAGAGAGAAACTCATGTTCATGAATACTGACTGAACTTTCCTCCTCATTCAGGTGGTGTCCTTCTTTCAAGCTGAAAGCTCACACTGTTTATCTGGACTTTGATCTGTGACTCATTCACACACTCACAAGATTCTGATCCCATCCGGTCAGAAAGAGTTTGTAGGTGAGGAAATCCCCCATCCCTCTCTCCTCCATCTCTTTCTCCAGCACCTGCAGGAGGTCGGCAAACCACTCGAAGGCGTGTGTTTCCCGGCACAGCCAGTAGAAGTAGATCTGAAACCAGGAAGCAGATGCAGCAGCGGCAGCAGGCGTGTTAAACAATGGTCCTCTTACAAAAGAGCTGCTGATGACTCGTCGTCTAACACGGGCGAATTGTGAAAACACAAGGTGTTCTTTATTTAAGAGACAATAACAGGACCTACAGGTTTAAATGTCAAAAGCACACTGATATGGTTGTTTGGGTTGTTACCTTTCTGGTGCGCAGTTTGGGGTTGGAGATTTTGAACTTGTACCAGATGGACTTGAGGATAGAGGCGAAGGGAGTGACTCCGATGCCGGCACCGACCAGCATGCTCACCTCGTAGTCAAACACGTCCTCACTGGCTGTGCCAAAGGGTCCGTCCACGCCCATTCTGGGAAACAATAAATAAACTGTCAGCAGGAAAATAAACCACAAAGTGACAGAGAAACGTTTACAAACAATACAAAGGCGGAACGTGTCAGCTTTCATGTAGCTTGGCATCACATTACAAAACCAAGCGTAACTCATTATCACCTTTCTGATGTATTTTGTGCTTGCTGTTGTCATGGCAATCTGCTCTTTAGTTGTTTTAATCTGAGGCTCAAAGTTAATCATGACCTTGACAAAACAGCTGCTGGGAATTCAAAGATATCTATTTATTTAATGTCTGTTTTTATAGGGACAAGTATGCAGCACTGGACCAGTGCCACATACCAAAGCTTTTATAGCAGACGCCAGGTTCTTCGCCCGTCCATAGATGTGATTGAAGTGATTTGTTAGAGCTACAGGCAGTTTGAGAGAAAACTGGCTCAGGTTTTGATGAGGAATACAGGGGATAAGTTGGCACTGAGCAGCCCAGCAGTGGAGCAAAATCACCCTCAACCTCAAGAGGACAAGGAAACAATGATTTAAAGGTGCTGTATGTGACTCTGGAGAAAGATATTTGATTGTTGAGTCTCAAAGTGACCGTATCTGATGATCTTGGAATGTGACTCAATAATCAATTATCTTTCTCCAGAGTTATAAACAGTACTTTTAAGTTGAAACAGTAACATGGGAGTTTACACACACAAACGACCCAGGAAAAGCCGGGCTGTAACCACCTATTTACATTATTGACAGAAGGTCCGTGGGAATTTCCCTCCATAAGTTTTTAGAAACCTAACAGCTAAATTCACCATTTTGAAACAAATTTATTACATATTTGGTACTTCTTGGTGAAAGTTTTGATGACTAAAGTGCCATTTTAGTGAGCCAGAAAATGACTGAGGGCCACACAGGAAAAGTGCACACACTGTAGTGCCATTTCTCTACTAAAATAGAGAAACAGTACAGTGTTTGACACTGATTGTCCCTCCCAGTATATATCATAATTACTGCCCAGAGAAAAAGGACCAAAGTGCCAGTAAAATCAGACCCACAGGGGTTTAAAACTCCACCATGGTGGCTGCATTAAATGTCTTCACTAACACTGTGAGTACTCACTTGGGTCCCTGTGCTCCCTCTGGTAGCTGCTGCATGATGTCGATGAGTTTGTCTGTCCAGTCGCCGGCCGAGCGGATGTGGATGCTGATTGCGTCCTCCTCGGGGGCGCAGGTCATGGTGAACGGGTGCCACTCCAGCTGGGAAATGACCGGACAGTTCAGGAAGACGTACTGACCCACCTCCATTTT